TCCATGAATGGAGATATTGCCTCATTTAGTTAGGTCTTCTTCAGCCTCTCTTTATAATGCTTATTTCATTTTCTGCATAGAAAACTGTATATTTTTGGTTAGATTTATTCCTAGGTATTTTTGATATTATTATAAATTATATCCCTTAAATTTTTTATTTTCTGAATGTTTTTGTTATTGCTCTAAATGTGATTAATTTTGTTAACCTTGCTATTAACAACTTCACTAAACTCTTATTAATTTTACTAATTTATCTGTAAATTCTTTTGGATTTTATGGTAAACAATTATATTTTGTAAAAATGATGAATATTATTTTTTCCTTTTCAGTTCTTTTTCCCCCTAGCACTGGTTAGAGCCATCAGTACAGTGTTGAATTAGAAGTGGTTATAGCAGGCATCCTTGTTCTGTTCCTGCTTTCAAAGGAAAAGCTTTCAGTGTCTCACCAATTACTTTAAGGAGTGTGTGTGTGTGTGTGTGTGTGTGTTAGATTTTCTTTATCATATTAAGAAATTCCTTTAATTAGCTACGAGGTTTTCTTTTTCTGTTTTTATCATAAATGGATGTTGAATTTTATCAGAAGCATTTTCTGAGTCTTTAAGATGATAATATGATTTTCTCCTTTATTAATCTGGTTGATTACAGTGATTGATTATCATGTGGTAAACCAACCTTGTATTCTTAAAATAAATACAATTTTGTTGTGCTGTCTTGTTTTTTAATAAATTGCTGGATTCTGTTTATATTTCCTTAAGGTTTTCTTTTTTATCCATCTCATGAGGTAAGGTTGGCTGTTATTTTCTTTTCTCATAATATTCTTTTCAAATTTTGCTTCATAGACCAAAATAGGGTATAGTTCCTCTTTTTTTTTAATTCTCTGGATGAATTCGTGTAAGTTGACATTTTTTCCCCTTAAATGTAAGGTGGAACTCACTAATGAAGCCACACTGGCCTCAATGTGGAAATTGGCCTGTTTCTCTGTAGGGAAGTTTTAAAATTATGGTTCAGTTTTATTAGATGTAGGATTATTTATAATTTTATTTCTTCTGCCTGTTTTGGTAGGGTGTATTTTTCCAAGCATTCACCCATGTTCTCTAAATTTTCAAATGTCTTGGCAACAAATTTTTCAAAATATTATCTCATTCTAATGTCTACAGTGTTATTTTCTTTTTCATTCCTTATATTACTTTCATGGTTCTCTCTCTCTCTGTCTTTCTCTTTCTCTGTCTCTCTCTCTCTGATTAGTCTCACCAGGGATTTATCAGTTTTATTAGTCCTTTCAAATTACTTCTTTTTTTGGCTTTATTGATCATCTCTATTGTTTATTAGTTTTCTATTTCATGAATTACTATTATCTTTAGTGTTTTTTTTTCTTCCATTTTCTTTGGTTTAATTTGTTGTTGTTTTCCTAACTCCTTGAGATAGATGATCAACTCATATATTTTTAACCTTTTTCTTTTCTATTTTGCATTTAAAGCTATAAATTTCCCTCTAAGAATTGCATTAACTTCATCCCACAAGTTTTTATATGTAGTGTTTTTATTATTATTTAGTTCAAAATATTTTCTAATTTCCATTGTCCTTTTTTTTTGACTCATGGGTTATGTAGGCATATACTTTCTTATTTTCAAACATATGGGGATTTTGTAATTATTTTTTAGTTATTGATTTCTATTACATTTTTTTTAGTTCTTTGAAATTTGTTTAGGCTTGTTTTATACCCAGAATTTGGTCAATTTTATCAAATGTTTTCTGTACACTTGAAAAGAAAATGTATTATGCATTGTTGTGAAAAATATTCTAAATATGTCCATTAAGTCATTGGCTAATTGTTTTTTTAATCTTCTATGTTCTTACTGATCTTTTATTTTGGTTTGATTGAATTTTTTGCAATATAATTCCTTCCTCCCACCTACCACCATTAGCTTGGAAGTCATATACTCCTCTTATATACCTTTTGTAATTACTCTAGAGATTTCAACCTGTATCCTTCATTTAGCTATTGATTTTTTTATATACATATATATCTAGTAATCTTCCTAAACTGTTACAGTTGCTTTTAGGAGTTGGTCTGTAGCAGCGGTTCTCAACCTGTGGGTCGCGACCCCTTTGGGGGTCGAACGACCCTTTCACAGGGGTCGCCTAAGAGCATCGGAAAACAAAACAATATTTACATTACGATTCATAACAGTAGCAAAATTACAGTTATAGAGTAGCAATGAAAATAATTTTGTGGTTGGGGGTCACCACAACATGAGGAACTGTATTAAGGGGTAGCAGCATTAGGAAGGTTGAGAACCGCTGGTCTATAGGCTTATTTGATTTTTTCTAAGTTTGTTTCCTCTGTTCTTCTTATCCCTAAACATTTTGTTTCTTTTTCTTATCTAACTATATTGTTTAAGCCCTGAATTATAGTGTTAAATAGAAGCAGTGAGTTGTGGATATTTTTGTTTAGTTCTTGGCTTTAGAGGAAACACTATTGATACTTCATCATTAATATGATGTACCTGGTAGCTATTTTAGTAGAGTCCATTCATCAAGTTAAGGAAGTTTCTTAATTTTCTTTAATTTTTGAAATTATGAATATATACTGAATTTTAGTGAATGTCTTTTCCTGCATTTATTGAGACGATTGCAAACTGTCTTTTGATCTGTGAATATTCCCTCTATAAATTCACCTATTGGTAGCCATCAGCATGTTGAAAAATTACAGCTAATAAGCTCCTCTTATGCCTATATGTTTCTACTTCCACCAGTGTCTGCTAGTTCCACTTGTTATTATATTTATGTCAAACAATCAAGTATTTTGTAGATCTGTAAAATGTCAAAGCAAACAGAGTTATAGTTTTATGAAACCTAAGTTGAATGTTTCAGGAAGATTCAATGAAGTTGAGTGGCTACAACCAAAACTGCAGCTGACTTAAGTGCAAGACTATTGTAAAACACTGGGAGAAAAATACCAGTAGAAATAACGAGAAGGCTTCTGTACCTAGATTGCTTTAAATAATCTTGTACCTAGATTGCTTTAAATAATCTGAAACTAGAAATGATAGGTGATGCAATGGTTTATACCATGGGCCTGGCCTTTCCAAGAAAGAACTCCAAATGGGGAGTGGAGGGAAGGGGTGGCTCATACTTAAAAAGTTAAAACCTTTGTCTAATATTAGAAATTTAGTGAACAAATGTACATTTATGTTTTAAGTTAAAATAAAAATTTAAAGGTAATAACATTTTTATGATTTCCTGCTGTACCTGACTTGACTGAATGAGAGGACATCTACTCTGTCTGCAGTTGTACATATCCACAGCCACAAGGATATGAAATCTGCAAAAGTGTTTTCAGATGGGCAAATATCAGTTATAGAGACACAGAGATGTCCTCCCAAACTGAAATGTTAATAGTCTATACAACTGAAGATATGTATGATATCAGGGGTGGGGGTGGCGGTGGATTGGAGGTGGGGGGTTGTCACTTTGTGAGGGGTGAAAAGCATAACTATTGCATTGTTTTGTACACCTGAAACTAATAATAATAACAAATAATAATAAAAAATAGTCTATACAACTGAGAGCCAGTTTGCTAATGGTCAATAGCGTCCTTCAGCAAGAAATTTTTATTTATCATAGCACGCGATGGTACAAAGTCCTCTTTGGAAGTACTTGGCTTAGAATAATGTTCTTTAAACTATGGGTTGAAAAATAAGTTTAGTAGTCATAAAAAAAGGATAGAATAGAAAATAAAGTGCATTCAAGTTAAAAGGATACATTTAGAATTATATAAAATAAGCTCAGCATATACTGGTAAGACAAAAGCTACAGATCATTGTAGAAATTTTAAAAAGCAACATATTTTTAACTCAAATTTTGTATGGCAGGACAAAAATATAAATTGGAATAAAACATAAGAACTTTGAGGGTAAAATGACATGAAATCAAGGATTTGCTTTAACATGCTGTAGAAGAAGGAGAGAGGGAGGGAGGAAGAGCGGGAAATTAAACAAGTACAACAATATAATGTGATAATTATAGAATCTGGGGAACCAGGTATAAAGGGGTTCATTATGCTGTTCTCTTGTGTATGTTTTGTAACACAATTAAAAACTAAAACGGAACAAATAATGGGTATTGCAAACGCTAGATGGTGTTTTGGGTTCTAACCACATTCTTTTTCTTTCTTTCTTTTTTTTAAAGATTTTATTGGGGAATTGGGGGAGGGGAATAGTGCTGGGGAATTGGGGGAAGGGGAACAGACAAGTTGCTGTCCTTCTTCAGTCTAGTTGTGGAGGACGTTGCTTCACTGGCCCAAGTTGGCACCATCATTGCGCTCTTCCCGGGCAAGGCAGATCAGTCGCCGGCTTCTGGACGGCCGCTCACTGCGGCTGCTGGCCGCTCACGCTGGCTGCTGGCTACACACGGTAGCCCATGGCAACCCACTGCACAGGGGCTGCAGCCTACGCCGTAGCCGGCGACTCACAGCAGCCCAGCTCCAGGTTGAGCTGTTGTTCAGCATCTTAGCTGTGGAGGGCAGTGTCACTGGCCCTCATGTAGGATCCAAACCGGAGCCCTCTGGCATCCCAAGCCAGCTCTTAACCAAAGTGCCACTCGGCAGGCTCTCTAACCACGTTCTTTTATTGATGTTAGTTAGAAAATCAGGGTGTGTAATCAATTCTGAACTGGTAAGTAGCTCTTTAGCATCAGAGTCATAGAGCAAAGGTGATTGCCTCTGTCGGTGACTGCAATCCCCAGCAACCCTAATTCAAGAACAGCATATTCTAGCGCATGCGCATTCATGCCCGCGGTGAGGAAGAATTCCAGGTAGATCATCAGAGCAGTGAAATAGTGGTGACTATTTCTGAATTGAAATTTTCTGAATTGAAATTTTCTGAGCACTTTCGGAGTGAAAGAAAACCAACCCAAAAAGAACAGTGAATATTTCTGAGTATTTTTATGCCAAGTACTACCACGAGCAACGGTTCTGAACTAAATACTTTCCTTTTCTAGGAAGAACCGGAACTATGGTTTGTGCCTGCCTTATTGCCGCTGAAATATTTTTAACTGCAGAGGTATGAAAGATGTTCCTACAAACTTTGTCTTAGGCTGATTGAATTTGCTAGTTTTGAAACATCACTGGTGGGATAAGATGAGTCTTTGAGTCATGGTACTTAATGGAATTATAATTGGAGAGGCTGTTATTGGAAATCCTGGTTTTAATACTTCCTTATTTAAATTGTGTAGTTAGTGACTGACCTCGGTACCTCTTACTCTGGGCCAGCACTAGGATGAGGTCAGTGAGACACTTACCTTGGGCATAGATTTAGGAAAATGCCAAAAATTTTATAATTAATATAAGATAAATAATGTTCTAATGCAATATTTTAAAAAAACAACAAAATTAATGCAAAAAAAATCCATGATGTATACAATATCAGCATTTTAAATAAAGACAGTACCCAATAGGGACAAGATTAAGGTGAGGTGAATAAGGCCGAGTTATACAAGTGCAAAAAAACTCAGCAATGAAGATGCTTTGCCCATCTCAGCTAGTCCCGCCCTGTTGTTACTCTCACCCGTTACAGGACTTCCTCCTTTCTCACATGGATACTATCAAGACTGATGACGTTAGTTCTCTAAAAGACCTTGAACATCCTTAGAAGCGCTCGGTAGATAAAAGACAGCATTTTCCAACTCAGACCCAAGTGTCTCCTGAATGTTGTTATCTTTGCATAGTCAGTATCAGTGGGGTCTGTGCCCCCTGGAAACTTCTGAGAAAACAGGAGGGGGGGGTGCTGTTTCTACCTTTTCAAGCAGGGGCCTCAGTCTTTTTTTCTGCTATGATCTTGCTGAGAAGTTACCTCTTAGAGGACACAGGCCCAGCAGCTCTGCTCCCCACTTGGCCTACAGTTAAGAGATGCTGTGGGTTACGCCCAATGCCCAACACACTAATTCCACCATCTTCTCTTTCTCTAATTGGAGACACACAAGTTATGAAAATGGATGTGCTAGGACTATTTTTCAAACTATGGATCACAATCTATCAGAGAGTTGTAAAATCAGCTTATTGGGTTGTGACTAGTATTTTTTTTTCATAAAATGGAATACATTAGAAAATATCAAGAGGTAAATATCATTCTGTGAAACTTTGTTTCCATTATGTGTGTGTGTGTGTGTGTGTGTGTGTGTGTGTGTGTGTGTCTCCTAGGTTTATTAATGTGGATTGTATCTTTAAAAATAAAAAGTTTGAAAGCCATTGATCCAGACCCTTAGGCTGAGAGCCAGAGACCTGCACTTCCGGCCTGTGCTGTCACTAGCTGGCTGCATACGTTTCCGTGACAGGTCACTTGGTTTTCTTTGGGTCTCAGTCTTCTCCATTTGTAAAATGGAGAGGTAGGAAGACGGACCCAATGATCTCTGAGGTCTTTCCAGCTCTAAAATTCCATGTCTTTATGTGTTTTTGAATGAGAGCAGGACTTGATGTGGCTTTGTTAATTTTGTTATTTTGGGTAGCGTCTGCCCAAAGACCGCTAACTTAGGGAAAGAATGTGCCCTTAGAAACTTTAAGAATGCTTTATACAGGAGAGGAAAGTGCAGATGGACCATGATTGAATTGTCCCCATTTCTATAGGAGAGCCTTCGTTATTTTGGAGAACGACGAACAGATACCACCACCAGTAGTAAATTCCAGGGAGTAGAAACTCCTTCGCAGGTAAGTTTTTTTTTTTTTTTAAAGGGGTCCTCTGGAGAGTTGGGTTCAGATCGACACCTATTATTTGGTTTCATTTTAGACTCTTCTCCTTTGGTGATTAGGCAGCAGCACTTGGGTGCCTGTGACAGGCCTTGATCCCTCCCAGAGGCTGAGAGTCACATCTCAGGCGCTGCATGAGCTTTGCAAACATTAGGTTCTCCCCAGAGCATCCTGCTTTCCATTTTGTATTGGTTATTGTTTACAGAGTTCAGGAGTTTATTCCCTTCCCAAAGCAGGAAGATCCAATTCCTAAGGTTCCAGAACCCTGAAGACTATCACCAGGCATGTATTTCCTGTAGAGAGGAACTGAGTCCTTCACAATCCCTGACTAGGGCAGTTCAACCCTTGCAGTTCAACACCATGTGTGTGTGTGTGTGTGTGTGTGTGTGTGTGTGTGTGAGAGAGAGAGAGAGAGAGAGAGAGAGAGAGAGAGAGAGAGAGAGAGAAAGAAAAAGACAGAGAGACACAGAGATGAGGTGGGGACTGTATTTTGAAAGAGAAAGAAAAGGGGAAATTAACATATTTCAAAAACCTATTAAATACCAGACACTATTATACACTATTATATTGCACTTGTACATATATTATCTGATTTAATACTCAGATAATCCATGTGAAATATATGCTATTGCCCTATTTTTTCTTTAAAATATTTTATTATGGAATATTTTAAACATAAAAAGTTGAGACAATCATACAATAAATCCCCTGTACTCATCACACCACTTCAACAATCACTTCATCTTGTGGACAACCATGTTTCATCCATTCTTTCCTCTTTCCTCTCTCTCTCTCTCTCTCTCTCTCTCTCTCCTTTCTTTCTCTAAATCTGGATTATTTTGAAGGAAATTCCAGCCAACAGATCATTCTATCCCACAAGTATTTTAGTATTGACATCTAACATAAAGACTATTAAAACCATTTATCATATCTAAAAATATGATGATAGTATCTTAATAATATCAAATGTCTAGTCCATGTTTAAATTTCCATAATTATCTTAAATCTTTTTAAAATTTAGTTTGTTTCTAACAAGGGCCACATGTTTCATTTGGCTGCTATAGCTCTTAAGTTTCTTGTAGTTTATAGGTTTCCCGACTCTCTTTTTTAATACCTGATAATTTGTTTATAGCAGAAACCAGATCATTCATCCTATAGAGCTTACAACATTCTAGACTTTGTTAAACCATGCTAAGGGTTTTACATTCATGATCTCATTTAATATTCTCAATAACTCGGTGAGTGGATTCCATGATGATTCCCATTTTACAGATTGGGAAATTGGGGTTCAGGGAAATTAACTTTTTAAACCAAGAACTCAAATCCAGATTTGTCAGACTCTGAAGCTGGGTGTTTGCCATCCTGTGCACAGCTTCTCATCTATATTACCCCTCAAACAGAAGTGAGAGCTGACTGGGAATTCTTAAGTAGAATGGATGTGGCTGTGAATGAAAGTTTTCTTTGGGCGAACAGATACAAGCTGAATTGACACCTTTGGCCTTGTTAGCGGAACACTGTAACTGCTGGCTCCAGACATTTAGTTTGGGGAAAAAAAGAACTCAGCCTTATCCCCTGAAACTTTTCTGCCATATCCAAGCAAAAAGAAAAACAACCACAAAAAAAAAAAAGAGCGCCATAGGCCATAGGCTAAAAGTAACACATGAACTTACTGAAGCCCAGCTCAGCTCTAATCATGCATGCCATTTCCATGCTTAAAATCCATAATGGCTTCTGATTCCCAATGGCAACAGGTATAAATGTTTTAACCTGGCACTTCAGATCTCTGATTTGATTTTTCCATTTCTTCCACTATGGGCATTCACACGTTCCACATGCTAACAGATGTGGACTGTTTGCTGTTTCCCAGCCCGTCAGCACTTGACACTCACATGCCATTGCTTACATGGGCCCCTTTTCCCGGAGCCCCTTTCGTTTCCTAGCCTGAAGTAGTCTTCTCTTTCAGTTCTTCTAGCCCAGGCGTTTTTTTGAGACAGAAGAGTCAATTCTGCCCCTCACAAAAATTTAAATTATTTTAAATTTTAAAATAATTTAAAAATTATTTGAGAGCCATAAAACAAATGAAATCACCATAATGTGAATCACATCCTTTAAAATTTTTATAAATGAAACTAAGCTAGTTTTATTTTCATTTTCAATTTTACTTCAGAGCCACATGTATGTACCCAAAGAGCCGTATGTGGCTCGCGAGCCGCAGTTTGCCAATCCCTGTTCTAAGCCCTTGGTGTTTCCTTCAGGGACTAGGTTACATTATTCTGTAGCTATTAATACATGCAGTGGTGACTTCTCTACCCCTTTTGCAGGCAAGGCCATGTCTTACCCATGTTTCCACCTTAGATGTCCCTAAGTGCCTTATACAGTGTCTCAGTGTCTCTTCTGTTCGTAGTGAGTGCTTGCTAAATCCCGGGGGTGCCAAAAAAATGTACACACGTGACTTGTATTCATCTTCTGTTACCGCTATATATTGAGTATTACAATTTTAATATAGATTTTTCCTTTCTTAAAAATGTGTATCTGTTTTTTTGGCACGCTCTGTATAAGTTGGTTGTGTTACCTCTTGCAACAGGTCCCTGTTGTTGTAGGCGGTAGTGGGGGAAGAGGAATAGCAAAGCCATTTGAGGACCATGGTGGGTTACAAACCTTAAGTGGAAGGTAGAGCACCTGGTGGCAGGAGCCACGGGGGGTGTTAGATGTAACACTTTCAAGGACTTTCCTTGTACAGCTTCCCTTCCTCATTTCTTCTGCAGTCGTGCACAGTTTCTCTAATTTTAGTTCAGATCTGGCATCCCCAAGGCTACAACAGAATCTCCTCTGATTCACTGAGACAGCAGAGCAGGGACTTGGCCCCAGGTTGGAGAGCGACGTTGGCAAGGCCCCCAGACAGAGTTCCTTCTGTGTAGGGTGGCAATTCTCAGATACCATCACATTGTGACCCTGCGCTGCCAGCCATTCTATATGAACTACATTTTACCCACCCTGAGTTAAGAACTTGCATGAGCCTTTCCCTTTACTGGCCAGTGGAAGGTATGGCAGTTAATTTTATTAACACTTCCTAAAGGGTGGGGAAGAGTCTGTGAACGTTTAAGTCCAGTTGATTCAGTACCAGAACTCAAGAAAAGTGAGCAGCTTGCCATAGGAAAAGGACTAGGCTAAAAGAACTGCCAGGGCTTCCTAGCAAAAATAGAATTGGGGAAATGGAAAGTGAAGAAACTCTACCTGGCAGAGACAGGAGAAGGATATGTGTCTACCACTGGCCTATGAAGGTCTTCCTCTTGAGTTTTGCCATTCTCTCATGCCTAGGAGGCTGCTCGCCACCAAACCACAAACCTTCCTTTAATTCAGTCACAACTAAGCTTCCACCCTCAGGTAGATTTGTTCCCAGTTGCAGGTAACTGCATCTCGCTGTGACGTTGTAGCTGTTTTGTTGGTTCTGGTTAGCTCTGTCTCGATCATAGCAGCCTGTTAGCAACACTTGGCTCCCTTCTTATTACTTCCCTACAGCATGTTTTTCTAAGGTCGTGAGTCAACATCCATAAAAATGCCTAGTTATATAATGGTACTAAATGTTTCCTTAATTAATTACTCTCCTTATGCTCTATGTAAAAAAAAAAAAATCAGAAATGCTGACTTTAGACTTTTCATCTCCACTTAACTTGAGTTTTCTTTTGTTTTCCAGAGTAGATATGTTGGATATTTTGCCGATGTGAAAAATCTCCACGGCTTCATGCTCCCTCCAAGAAAACTCCTGATAATAAACACAATTGTAATTCATTCAATTCATGGTAAGTGCTTTATGTGTTATTGGAGAATTGGGCAGGAGCACCCATGTTCTTACTATTTCGGAGAGTTTTGCTCATAGTTATATATACAGACAGTCCCAGTTCACCCCTGTCTTATATCTCCTCACATATGAACCTCTCCCCATGGAATTGCCATCGGCCCCGTGGAGCTGTGGTCATATTATCAACCCTTATATGTCTTTTCTTTTCCTTCCCCATCACCAATTTGGGGCTCTATCCCCTTCCCTTTTCTCCTGTTTCCACTGATGTGCTGGCCTCAGTCAGGTGGGCTTCCTGGAGACCACTTCTTTCTCATACCCACCTTCAGTTCGGGGTTCATCTTGGCAGTGGCATCCCTGTATCCTTTTTTCACCTACACCTTTCAGAGATCCTTTCTTTCTCATCAGTCTAGCCTCTCCCTTTCCCTTCCCTCCATCTGTATCTCCTTCACCTTCAACAACTCCATCAAGATGTCTTATACCCAAACTTCAAAGGAATTTTCTTGCCACAAACCCTTTTTATAAATAACTTACGAGCACCTGCTTTGGGCCAGGCCCCATGCTAGGGGCCTGCCCTAAGGGGTCCCTGGGTGATAAGCAGAGGAGAGGAATGAGTAGATAGATAAAGAACTGACCACAGAGTTGGGGGCACACAGAGGCTGGGCCCTGTCCAGACTAGGGGGTCAAGGAAAGCTTCCTAGGAGGACAGCACTTACGTCTCCCTTACCTAAATCTACAAGAACATGGAAAGAGTTGGGAAAAAAAACCTGGGCTCTGTGGTGTGTCTTTCAACCCCCTAGTTGTTACCGATTATTACCACGAATACAAATCCTTATAAACTTTAAAAGAGCTGACTGTTTGCCTGCTTCGGGAACGTAAGGCGAGAGACTGGGGTCTACCATCAACCAAGGAGGCAGGAAAACTCATCAGATCATCCATCTTTGAGACTTGAGAAAAAAAAAAAGAAGTGGCAGGCAGAGAAGCTGGCCTAGAGTGCCATGTCTCTGTTTCTCTATCACCCACCTCACTTCCCTGCACTGCTCTCCCTTAGGGGAGGTGGGAAAGCAGGGACATGTCAGCGTGGAGGGGATGGGGCCGCATTGACACTTGCAGCAGGGAGCAGGTTTCTGATTCCTTAAAGCAACAGCCAGACTGTTGACATGAGACAGTGTGGAGTGCTGGGCCTCTCACAGGGTGTGTATGGTGCCAGGGTGCTGGCATCCACCCAGATGGCCAAGTGTGTTTGGACTTCTGAGGAGTCACACAAAATAAGATCTAAACATGTATTTTTTAACATTTCTTTAAATTATTCAGAAATAAAAGAATCATTTAACATATAGATATAAAAGCTGCATAGCCAAACAAGAAATTAAAATTGTTTGTTAAAATATAAAATGCTCTTTTCAGTTCATTGATATACCCCACCCCACCCCTACACACATAACCATATTACCACCACCTTTTGTTGGTGATGAGGAATTTTAATGGATTACCACAGATTATATAAATTTGTAGGTTCTGAAAACAACTTCAATCCAGTAGCATTGCCTCTGTGTGAAATTTTGGTCTATAACAGATTTCCAAACAAACATTGTTCAGGTAGACCCTTGAAACACAGCCTATTGTGGCAGGAGGCTGCCTGTGTATATAAATGAGCAACTGTTTGTGGAAAGGCTTTGTAGGTGGCAGAGTCCTCTACAAAGACCACCACGGCTGTGTCATGGGATGTGTGGGAATTATGAGGGACAGGGGTGTAGGGGAGCCTAATGGGACTCCAGCTTTGTCAGACCTCCCCAGGGTAGAGCCAGGCTTGTCCAACAGGTGGTACAGGCAGGGGACAGCAAAGCTGTGTTCCCCTTTCTTTCCACACCCAGTGGGGCCAGGGCTGGACCGCTTTATTCTGCAGTGAGACAGGCAACATAGTTGGCTATTAGAGGAGGTTCTCCCACTCAGAAAGTTAAACCCAACTATAAAACCAACTCAGTGGCTTGAGAGCCTGTATTGTACCTGAATTTATACTCTGCCTCCATTTCCTCTTTGTTAACAGTGGGAATAACAGTATCTATACAGAGCTCTGTGAGTGTTCAACTATTCCAAACAGGCAAACAAGCGTTTAGTCAATGGAGTTTTAGTGCATTTCTCTCATATGAACAATGAGGATAGAAATAGTTTCTCAAAATTCTAAGCTTTGTTTTTTAAAGTTATAGAATTTCATATGTTGTCTCGGTCTGATATTATCTGAAGACTGACTTCTCTCTTAACATTTTGAATTTTATTGAAACTCTGTGGAGCTTAGTTTAAATGTAAGGCACAGATCTGGACAACAGCAGAGCTTACCGAAGTTTCTAAGTATTGCAGGTGAAAACTGGTAGAGCACTTCATGGGTTTGGTTTCCTACTCTCAGGCTAACATAAAATAGAAGATTTTAAACGTCCAATTTGAGATTCTTCATGAAGACTTCCAGATAGAAAGTTGTGACGATAGCAGCTGTTCAGTGCACGGTGGGCCAAGGCTTGTGGAGCCAACGTAAGAAGGCCTACATGGCAAGTTGAAATTCTTGCTGCACCCATGTAAATAATCAGGCCAAACCTAATGACACTGGCCTTCTTTTGGAATAAGAATAATCTTTTGAGATTATTATGATCACAACATAAAAGGGGTGGGGTGACTGTCACAAAAAAAGTGTGAATGACTTTGAAATGGGCAATATCTTGTCTAGTGTACCTTCTAGGGCTGTCTCCACCTCTCATAGTCTTTAAGCTATTTACAACACTTGTGAGTTGTAGAAAATTGATAAGGCAAATAGTTTTTGTACATAGAAATGCAAATTAGTTGTCATGTGGAATGCAATTGCTGTTTGTAAATTCATCATTCCTTATCTACCTATAAATGTGCAGTACTTTGAACTAGCTATAACATTTTACTGGTTCCTTATTGAACAAAATTTTTGACATGTATTAAAAAATGCGGGCCGGCTGAGTGGCTCAGTTGGTTAAGAGCTCGCTCAAGAGTTTGAGCTCTGAGCAACAGCGGTTTGAGTCAGCCCGAGCTGAGCAGCCGCTG